TCTTCAGAGTCTATTCTTGACCCACCAAGAGGGCTCTTTTTAAAACTTAATCACTCCTATGCTCAAACCCTAAAATGGCTCTCTAATTAATTCATCATCAAAGCCAGTGTCCTTCAATGGCACACAAAATCCTATGTCATCTGTTTGCAACAATCCCCACAGCTGACTACCTTTCTAACCCTCACCCAACTAATTTTCCTTTCAATAATTCTGCACCCTGACCTTTTTACGTTACATATATATACACACATATAACTGCCTCCCCCCTCCACTCTATTAGAATATAAGCAAAATCTGTGTTCTACAGGGCAAGAGTCTTTGTTTTGTACACTAATGTACCCTAAGAGACTAGCCAGTAAGAGATATACAATAGGTGCTCACATCACATTTGCTTAATGAATAAATGTTGAGTCTCTCAGCAAACTATAAAGAGCAAAGTCATGTTTTGGACTTGTACTACTAAGAATCTTTCTATATTCTTTTCTTTTAAAAACAGTATGTACCACAGTAAATGCTTAATACACATTTGGCGAATCAATTTCTAAATGGTACTTGTCATTGTCAATGAAAGAAACAAAATCTCACCACAAAACAATGTGTAGCATTGTCTATGGCCATACTACCCTGAATGCCCCCATCTCGTCTGGTCTTGAAAGCTAAGCAGGGTTGGGCCAGTTTAGTACTTGGATGGGAGAACAATGTGCATTATTAATACATAATTTATCCATTCATTAATTAATCTACTCAATATAAATTTGGGTGATTATAACCTGCTATGCATAGGCATTAAGAACCAAACTAATAAAATTAGCCTTTATTTTTTTCCTGAGGTGAAGAGACAAGAAGCTATGTAAGTACAATTCAGCCTGTTAATGGTTTTCACAAAGGGAAGCCCTGGGATCACAAAACAAAGCCCCTGCAGAAACAGGGGCCACCAGGACAGTTGTGCCCCTTTAGCTAAGTTTTTAAGGAATTAGTTAAGGAGACAGGTTAGTAGGAAGTATGAAGGAGAGAGTGTACTAAGCAGAGGCCACAGCTTGTTTGAAAGCAGACAGTATTGGGAACATAAACCACAAGCAGCTTCATGTGGCTGGAGTCCTGGAATTCAGGGGATGTGTGGAGGTGAGGAGGTCTTCCTTCACTAATACCGCATTATTGGATTTAATCTTGTAGTTAAGGAATAGTCACCAAAGTTGTATACTCAGGTTTGCATTTTAGAAATCTCTTATAGTACACTCTGTGTGGATAAATGAGGATTTGAGAAAGACTATACAAACAGGTATGAAATTTTAATTCAGAGTTAGGAACACAGTAAAATTTGGTAAAAGGAAGACCTTCAAGAATTGTAATTTCAAGGGGCTGGGGATTTAGCTCAGCGGTTCAGTGGCCTGCCTTGCAGTCAAGCCTCAGTACCAAAAAAAACAAAAAGAATTGTCATTTCTGTTTTAAAGTAACCTGACAATTATGACCGTTGTTATTATTTACCAGTTTTTCAGAGGACTTAAAGAACAGAACACTAAGGGAAAGAGGCTCAAGGAAATTATTAAACACATCCTAATTCAACTATTTCTAAATGAAGTGAAACTGAGTAAATAAACATTCAAGAAAACTACTCTCAGTGTCACTCTGCTTGATCACCAGGGAGCTCCTAGTGACAGGCCACGGGAACATTTACAATGCCAAAGGAAATACTCAATCCATCCACCCCGCCACCCCGGCTCCCACTCCCTTCCCAACATTTCATATTTTTCTTCCCAAAAGACACCAACATTGCATAGCTACTTGTCACGTGGGGTTCTGGTAATCCACCTGCCAAGCAACAATAAAATCTTTCTTTGACCTTAAAGCAAGGCGAAAGGATTGCCTGAATCATAGGAATGCTTACCTCAAACAATCATTTGGTTTTGCTAGGGCACAAAAGATCTTTCTCAATTGTCTTCTTTCACAACTGCCTTCCTCTGCAAGCCTTAGAGGTTAGTTTGGTTTGGGGGACCACTGTAGGCAACTGGAAAAGAACCAGAATGATTCTTGGCATTGCTATGGAACCAAACTTTCACCAGTAAGAAAACGCAACAGGTTCTGTGTTCTCCAATTTCAGTCATGCTGCCTTAGAATTTGGTAAGGAGTAATTTTTCACATTTCCACAAGCATTTATTGTAGAAATTCAAAAACTAAAAATAAAAATCAAGCAGAGATCCTACATACAAGTATGTGATACTTCTTTTAGCACAGCACTTGAAAGGTGCAAAGGTGATACAAAATCAAAGTACAAAACACTTTATGTAAAGGTGAGCAGTGTGTGTGTGTGTGTGTGTGTGTGTGTGTTTCAGTAACACTGCAAAATCCAACCCAACCCAAGAAAACCGATGAGAAAACAGAAGGAAATTTGAAAAGGGCAGAAAGCTAAATGACTCCAGGCTCACAGAAAAAAAGTGCATAAGGTGGGTCCTTTGTGTATCCATGTGTGCTCATGTGCATTTGGGTGTGTGTGCCTCAGATTCCAGTATTTGATGTTATTTGCCTAACTAGCTATATGTAGAACTACAAGTCACTTTTGAAGTGATTTTTAAAATAGTCATCGAACTTTAAAAATTGGCTTTGAATTTGTTTCAAAAAATCAAGGACATTACTATGTGAAACTTGAAGTCAATTTTTGAACGCAATCAAAGGGAAGTTTTCTTTTTCTGAGTTCTTTCACGCAATAGCAAAATGATAGTCTATGAAGTAAAGTTAAAGTTTCTCAAGGATTATTTGACTTTTCACCTTGGGAAAAGCTTTCAGTACAGAAGAAGTCAAACTTGTTATTATTTAGGTAGTAAGTTTGGGATCATTCGTTAAATTATGTTACTTTTTCTTTTTAAAAAGTGACACATCTTTAAAACAGATTTTTTTGAGGGGAGGAGAAAATGCCAAACTTGTTCTTCCTGAGCAACAATACAACTAAAAACAATCAAATCAATTTCATAGTGCATAAATAAAATATAACAAAGATACACATGTATGTATATATTTAACAAAAGTTTATGCGTATTTAAAGGAAATTTAAAACACCAAAATTGGTGGTTTCGCCATTTCCTTACTTCAAATGCATATCGGTTAAAAATATGTAAAGCAGCAATTTCCTCCTAGACACTTTTTTTACCTATTATAAAACACTCTTCTTGGTACATTCCTCTGACAATATCTAATAATAAACATACAAATTGAATCGAAACAGAAGCGGCAGCATTAACAAAATTAACAAGTTGTTTGGTGGAAACAGGCTTTATCTTAAATAAGAAGAAAAATACCTATTTATCAAGAAAAACAAAAGAGACTGAAATTTAAAAGCAAGAAAACAGGAACAAAGGTGTGAAAAAATGTACTTGGTTTCCTAGTCTGTTAAATAAGAGACTATTCACAGCACCTGCCTCTTAATGCTGTCATGAGGATTAAATAAACTCATTCACGCAGTCATTGAAAGCAGCATCTGGATTCATATTGAGTTCTCAGGACTGACACTAATTTTTATTATTGGCAAAAACTGTAGTTATTAGGCCATCTCTCACTTCCCACGTTGGAAGGCAGTCTTGGAGGAATCACAATCATCTGAGTATATCTTGGTTACCAAGTAACGATAGCCTTATTTCACAGAAGAAACACTTTGAAAAAATGCTCAAGATTTCTGAACTCCAGAAGCCAGAAGCAGTCATCAGAGGAGCAGTGTTTCTGATTTGTAAAAGGAGAGCAACACCTTAAAAAAAAACCATAAGCTTGTTCTCCATTTTCCAGCAAGCTGGACTGGAATTAAACACTAGAAGTTACGGAAGAAAATGTCTGTTCAGCATATGAGAGAATTTTAAATATCAAAAACATCTTAGAAAAGGACAGGCTGCCTTGAAGGGCAGAGAGTGTACTGTCCAAGTGACAGTGACAATCATCACCCACAATAATGACAGTTGACAATTCACAGAAACTGCTCAGCACTGTTAAGTGCACTACATATATTCAATCACCCATTTAATCTTTACCACAGCCATCTGACTCTGCAGTCTTGCCTTCTGAACCACTATAATACACTGCCTATCTCTGTTTTGAAATCCTGAGCAATTACTTAATTGCTCTGTCTCTACTGCATTTTTAAAGGGACAAAAATTAGATGGCTGTGATAAAAATTAAATTTCAATTTCAAAGAAAAAAATGGACTTGGATGTCAAAGAATTGGCTGTCGTTAACAATGTGACAAAAACTTCTATGAAATAATTGGATATCAAATCTTGACTATGGGGTGCTTCTCTGGCTAAACAGAATCAGTTATAAAAAATAATGGAAAGACTGATATAGTGACGTTAGATTCTCTGCATACTTGGTCTGGCTGATTTTAAGTACAACTTTGAAAAAAAAAAGTGGCACCCTCTATTGACTTCTCTGACCATCCTCAATGGCTTGGCCAATCATTCAACTTACACTTTCAGCAGAATCCTTAATTGTTTATTCATTGGACTTGAATTTCCACTTAACTAATTCTTAGATCTAGTCAATTCAACCCACTTCCTTTGTACTTATTATCCAATTGTACCGTGGCAGCCAATATGGCCCAATAAACTTTGACTCAACCTTAAATAGCTCCTTTACATCCAGATTCTGAGAGCAACATTAAACCTTTATTTCACTCAAACTTCCAAATCCACTGCTGGCCTCACTCACAAATATCCTAAATTCCTCAGTAATTGAGACACAGAAGCAATCAGTTGAAAGTTCATTCTCCTTTCCATCTATCTTCCTCTGAATCCCAGAACCCCTCCAACAGCAAATCAATTCAACACTGATGCTTTTATCCAGGCTTCTCCTGGCTTTAGGAAAAAAAAAAAAAAAAAAAAAAAA